TTAATTGCACCCCTTTGTCTGAGGCAGTGATGGGAAGAATCAATATAAAGCCTTTATTTTCTTAATTTCCCTTAAACTATATCATCTTCAATTGACACGGGTTATTTTCTTGGAAATATTCCAAATTAGAATCTCACGTGTTCATCGTCAGTTTTTATTTCAGCTTGATGATTACTTGAATTCTTGTTGAAAATTATTTGTATACTAGCCTAGAAACCGCTCTTCTGGCGGACTTTAGGCTACCCCCTGTGTGTGTGTGTGGGGGGGGGGGCTTTTGACCCTTCGACCTTTTTACCTTCAGCATCCTATGTACATAAATATTATAAGAATTTAGAAATAATTAAATTATTTTATCTTTATTCGGCACCTTAATTCGGCATAATCTTTCTTCGTATACGCAACCAATCTCCGTATTTGTTTACATTTATTTTGCACGCAAATTTTCTTTTCTTTTAAAATCTCCATTTTTTATGACCCCTTCATATCAAGTCAGTGTTAAAAGACATTCGGGAAACCGAACTATGTAATATTTCGAATACGTCACAGTACGCATGATAGGAAAAATAATAATAATAAAAACATATGAGCAACGTACCGTGCCCCAATTAAGTTTTAATTACAATTTAATTAGACGATATCAATTGCAATTGCGAGGAAAAACGAAATTTAAGTTAAACCTTTAATAAAGAATTGTTTTTTAAACCCTTCACTCTGTTCGATATTTAAATTTAACTTTAAATGAGTTAATTATTTAATTTTTAATCGCGTGTAACTGCAGTAGTTACTATTTGTTACTTCATCTTGTTTATGATTCAAGATCGAAAAACAGGCGGAAAGACGGACAGACGTACACTGCGCTTTATCATTATAGATAATCCAATAAATTATCCAAAATATATAGAATAAATTCTTATAAGCATAAAACAGAAAACTTGGAATTAAACAACTATTTAACCGATGCATAGTTGAATAGATTTTACACGTAGCATCTAATGGACGTCTTTGTCGACTCGCAGTAAAGAAAATGTAAATTATTTTACTCAATTTTTGCCACATATATCTAGCATTCTTTGTCGTATTAACCTGCGAATTAGTCACATTCATTAGTCATAATCCATCTTGTACGTTTACAAATCTACCAATCGTCCATACATTGAATACTGTTGCCATATCTGGTCTGGTGATCTTGCTGTATATCTTGAGAATCTTGACAAAATTCAAAGAATATGTAATTTAATCTCTCCTGAACATGCATCTCGACTTCAGTCAATTTCTCACCGACGTGTCGTGGCTTCCCTCTGTCTTTTCTACAAATATTTCCATGATAACTGCTCTGATGAGCTATTTTTTCCCGCTGCCCCGAATACATGAACTAGCACGGTTCCACCGTTTTAATATTGAAATGGCTAAATGCAACCGCCACTTTTACACAAACAATTTCTTCTCTCGCACTACCCACCTGTTGAAATCCCTTCGTTTCTTGCTCCCCTGATAACTACAACCTTCAAAAATTTTACAGCAATGTCAATCGCCATCTTTTGTTTTTTTAATCCTGTTCATCCTTTGTCCGTTCCTCAATCCTCCTTATTCTCAGTCTTCTCTTAAACTTTCACCTCTTGTAAGCCTCTGTGTCTTAGTGGCATTATCGCTTTGATTTGGGTGAAATGATAAAAGAATAGTTATGTCTTTAAATACCCGTACAGATATGCAATGTGAGCGGTCCTGATCTGGCATCTCGTCTACAAGTCACTTTCTCACAAACGTGCTGTGGCTTCCCTCTGTCTTTTCTATAAATATTTTCATTTCAACTGCTCTGACGAACTACTTTCACTGGTACCACAACTGCATGAATTTAATCTGCTAGGTTAACATCACGGTCGCACCATTTCACTGTCGAAACGGTTAAATGTAGCCATCTCTTCTACTCCAACAGATTCTTTTGCACTTCCCGACAGTGGAACTCCCTTCCTCTTACTCGCTTCCCTGTTAGCTATAATCTTCAAATATTCAAATGTAATGTCAATCGATGTCTTATGACGCCTTGATCCTAATCTCTATCCTTCTCTATATCCTTTCCTCAAACTACCCTCTTTACTCTTGCTCTAACTCTCTATAACCTTTTGCATGCTAGTAGCACTCCCGACCTCACTATCTGTAACCTCTGCCTGCTAGTGGCACTCCCGCCTTGGTTGGGTTGATATGCTTAAAAATATATGCTTATAGTAATGGTAATATTACCCGTTTCATTATAAGGAAACATTCATCATTCACTGATCGAGTCGGTGGGGGGGGGTATAAACGGTAGTGTCAGAGCTATGCCGCCCGGAACTTCGTTCCTGGTAGGGCCACCCAAGGCAGACAGGTCTGACACACACGCCGGCTAATAAGGGCTCTGGTGAAAATCCAAGGAGCGTCTGCATCGGTAACCAGCGGCTTCTGGTCATTCCTGTCTCTGCGTCTGTGGGAACCCCGCGGCAAGCAAGAACGTTATCCGAGTAGGCCTGGGTACCCTACTTCTGTAATTTATCCCAAGAATCTTCTTCTCATAACAGGAAGAAGCCGGCTCAATCCGCCCAGGGTGAATGCCGCATCAGTACAGTACAGTACAGTAGTAGATCGAGCAGCCAGTGCTACTGTCAGTTGCAATTCATTTCAACTTTATCTGTCTGTTTTATTGACTTAGTGAATGGCAGAATGTGCTTAGTATATCTGTTGGGATTTTTCATCTTTGGAAGATATCTTTCGCTTAAAATAATTTTTCAGGAAAATATAGTTTCTTAAGTTAAGCTGTCATCGCTCTTTCTATGATAAATGGGATCTTCCGTTCTAACCTTTTATTTGATAAAAAGAACTTGATTATGTCACTATTTCCTCTAAGAGTTACATGTGATATCCAGTTTAGTAGTTACTGATGTTGAAAGTCCTTAACTGATGTGGCTTCGACTATTTGGTACAGTTCTTTGATGATAATTCTGTAGCGCCATTCCACGTGGTTCGAAGAAGGATGACCCTGATTAAGAATTCAGGCTTCATTCACTCAAATTCACCACCTTTAAGTATCGATTTGAGAAAACGGTTGTATATGGTTACCTGCAAGAGACGCTTATAATAAACTCATTCCTCATTTATGGGGGTTCAAATTGGTAGGCTTAGTCATTGTTACAAAGACCGGGACAGTATCGCTTCTCACTCCTTTTCTCTCACTCTCGTTCTTCTTGTTTAGTTTCATAGTATTGCGTTGACAAGATTTAAAAAAATAGACAAACAAAGAAATAGGATCAGGGAGAATCGAGTCCATGACTTTCTCGAGGATGAAACCATATTACCAATCACAGCCATAATTTGATCTCTGTACATCGATTTAACCGCCCGAATCGCTGCCTACTGCTCCAGCCCGCGTTTTTTTTTTGTTTGAGAAACGGTGTGCGTATCTTTAAGCGCATGCGCGAATATGCATCCCTTAATTTGCGGCAGTCTCTTTCTTTTACGCAGAAAACAAGATTTGGCGTAGAAGCATTTTGGTAATTACGTGTACGTCAATGCATGTGCAGCAACACATTTGTCGGTGCGTTTCAAAACGTTTACATTTTCAGCTCCGTCTTTATCTGTCTCTTTTATTGATTTAATGACTGGCAGAATGCGTTTAGTATATCTGCTGGGATTTTTCATCTTTGGACGAGATTCTATCGACACAGGAAATGGGGAAGAAAGCAAATGGAATGAGAAATAGTAATAATAATAATAATAATAATAATTCTAATTACTGTTCGTAGCAATAGTTGCGAATCTTAAAGAATCTATTGTCTCGCTTTCTCAGCTAAAAGAGTGGGTGATATATACACCTAAAGTAATAATAATAATAATAATAATAATAATAATAATAGAAATAAGCTATAAGCCTATCAGGATTATCATGCAGTCTTTGTCTTATCTATAAGATATAATAAATAAAATAATAATAATCTTATTACAATTCTTTTTGTTCCTCCCTTAGTTAGCACGATCGTTACGCTCCGCCAAACCCCATAAATAATAGACTATTCCGTTCTGATCGCGCAGAAAGACGAAAAAAAGCATACGCTTCCTGGTTTTAGTGAGAAAATGAATGAAAGAAAGAAAAAAAAAGAAAGGAATAAAAAAGCGAATATAGAGGTGTTTTAGTGAAATGGAAAATATTGTCAATTTCAAATCTTTTCAATTATAGCCCCTTACTTCTTGTATTAATATTTATAATTTTTATTGCAATATTTTGTCAAAGTTGTTAATTCAAATATTCATCGATGCAATAGGAGAATTTCTACAGATACTTTATTGCCGTAGAACCCACCATGAGCTTATTCAGCCGTTAACTTAAGAATTAAGAGCCACCATGAAGTCCAAACAGAAAAACAGTGAAATTCTCATGGATATTTCTAAAAATAATAATACTATAATTCTGCTTCTTCTTTCGTCCCTTAGCACAACCGTTACGGCCTGACAATACCCTAAAAATAATGGACTCGAGGGCAAACGGAAAAGACATATCAGAGTTTGGATTCAGTGAAAAAAATAAAGAAAGAAATAGAAAAACTAGTAGCCGCTATTTCTTTAAATAATAGCCTGCATAATTATGATTGCTATTGTAATATTTTGTTAATAATTTTTAACGACGCAATAAGGAAATTTCCATGGGTATTTTGCAGCTAAAATTATTTCAGATTTTTGCATCTGTATTTTTTTATCTATAATCAATATTAAGCCAATTGTAATACAGTATGCAGTGTTTGACTTAAACGCGACGGACGTAAAAATAAGAAAAAAAAAACAATGTGGTATCGAGAGATGATACAAATGTTATGAAACGTATAGAAAATGTAAAGATTATAGAAAATACGATAATGCCTAACGTAAAATAAAAAGATTGCAAAATTAATTACAAGCCGACTTACAACCAGATCAATTTACGTACTGCTGGACGTAACCAATCGTGGCCATAAGTCGACAACGACATGTACTCTGTTTTAGCAAGAACGACAAGAATGCAAAATTATTAACATGGAAACACATAAGCTCAAAATTAAAATGAGAGAAAAACATAAAAGGACAAAAAAGACATGTATAGTGAGAACAAAGAAAGAAGATAGAAAGAAGAAAAGAAAGAAGAGAGAAAGAAGAAAAGAAAGAAGAGAGAAAGAAGACAATAAAGAAGAGAGAAAGAAGATAAAGAAGAGAGAAAGAAGAGAAGAAGCAAAAGAAGAGAGAAAGAAGAGAAGAAGCAAAGGAAGAAAGAAGGGAGAAAGAAAAAAGAAAGAAGGGAGAAAGAAAAAAGAAAGAAAGAAGAAAGGAGAGAAGTGAGAAGGTATAAAGAAGACATGGAAGAAGCTAAGGTAGAAGATAGAAAGACGATAAGGAAGAAGAGAAGAAGGAAAAGAAGAGAGAAAGAAGAAAAGAAAGATGAAAAGCAGATAAGGCAGAAGATAGAAAGAAGAGAAGAAAGAAGACAAGAAAGAAGAAAGAGGAGAGAAAGAAGAGAAGAAAGAAGAGAGAAAGCAGTAAAGAAAGAAGAGAAAAAGAAGATAGAATGAAGAGAAGAAGGAAAAGAAGAAAGAAAGAAACAAGAAAGAAACAAGAGAAGTTAGAAGGTAGAAAGAAGACACGGAAGAAGCTAAGGTAGAAGAGGGAAAGAAGATAATAAAGAAGAGAGAAAGAAGAGAAGAAAGAAGAGAGAAAGAAGAGAAGAAGGAAAAGAAGAGAGAAAGAAGAAAAGAAAGAAGGGAGAAAGCAGATAAGGCAGAAGATAGAACGAAGAGAAGATAGAAAAGAAGACAAGAAAGATAATAGAAAGAAGAGAGAAAGAAGACAAGAAAGAAGAAAGAGGAGAGAAAGAAGAGAAGAAGGAAAAGAAGAAAGGAGAGAGAAAAAGAAAAAGAAAGGAGAAAGAAGAGAAGTGAGAAGCGAGAAAGAAGACACGGAAGAAGCTAATGTAGAAGATAGAAAGAAGATAAGAAAGAAGTGAGAAAGAAGAGAAGAAAGAAGAGAGAAAGAAGAGAAGAAGGAAAAGAAGAAAGAAGAGAGAAAGAAGAAAAGAAAGAAGGGAGAAAGCAGATAAGGCAGAAGATAGAAAGAAGAGAAGAAAGAAGATAGAGAAGAAAACAAGAAAGAAGAAAGAGGCGAGAAAGAAGAGAAGAAGGAAGAGAAGAAAGAAGGGAGAAAGAAAGAAAAAGGAAAGAAGGAAGGAAAGGGAGAAGGGAGAAAGAAGACACGGAAGAAGTTAAGGTAGAAGACAAGAAAGAAGATAAGAAAGAAGAGAGAAAGAGAGAGAGAGAGAGAGACGACAAGAGAGAAGATAGAAAGAAGAGAAGAAAGAAGATAGAAAGAAGATAAAAATGCCGGTTATTATTCCTCGCTCTTCAGAGCACGATCAAAACAAATAAAACCCTGCTCTCGATTAAATCAGAATGATCTTATGATATAAACATATATCAAGAATACACTAATATATGTAAGTTATAAGCTCGTCGCGTTAAGACCCCGCAATCAGCCTTTCTGTTTACACAGAGAAGGTTTAATAAACAGATTTAATAAACACAGGCCTCAAAATTTCAGGTGGCAATCTGAGGGCGAACAACTCAAAACAAAGGACATATTCTCACCGTAGACCAACGTACACTGTCAGTTAATTATCAGGTGTTCTGCTATCGCAGACCCAGACGTGTTGGTGCATTAACTAAATTCTGAAATTGGGCTTTACAAATATTGGCTAGCATATGTTCTACCTATATAGACAGTATTACACTGAGATTTAAACTAATAAGTAGCAGAGCTGATGTGATGAACAGCTAGGTCATCTTTATGGATTTCAACATATTTTACTCACATTTTATTGAATGTACTCATTTTGATGGAAAATAGTAAATTTAAAAAATAACAAACAATAATAGAATAATTAGCTCATTTAATATATCCTTATCAAAACATTTAAGATATCCTTGTCAACAAAGCAAAAATAAGGAACTCTTGGAGATGGTCGGAATCCACGTGGCCGAAACAGCGTGTCTATAATAACATACAACCAACAAGATGTGAATAATAATTCAAATAAGTCACCTAAAAATCATTACGTGCAAGAAATCCTATATCAGCAAAAGTAATCGACACCTGATGATGAACAGAGGATCCTTGGTTGAAACGTTAGCAATTAAAGATGAGAAAAATAGAATAAATTAAAGTATATTCGATCAAATTTCCTTGTTTTGTAGTCCCGTTTTCTGAGTTCTTTTGTCAAGCTCAGGAATGGTTACTTGGCTGGTTGATTTTGTTTAGCGGCATATCAACCTCTATGGTTTATTTAATACTGAAAGCGAAATGTTTTGCACACAATTTTATGGCTTTAACTACAGATAAAATGTATATTTGTTCATTCTACTAGTGTTGTAGAGTAGTTTTCACAGTGGAGGCTTGTATTTCACTAAGTCGGCCCTAAAAAAAGGTTCGACGTACAAAACGTTAGGAACTTGAAATAATAGTTAATGACGCGGCAATCTAGTTGTGGTGGTTGATACTTTAATGTCCGACATCGACTGACTCACCAACTCACTGAGCTCACTGGCGACTGCTACTATTAATACTTATTATATGTGGGAGAGTCTATTAACAATAGAATAGGTGTGTTTCAGTATAACAACTAGGAAATGTATTGCCGGTCATTTTGCTTTATGTAGTTAGTAATTTTACTATAATAGGTATTGTTAGTAAGTTTATATAAAAATGTATTGCTGCTATTTTTACTATAAAAATCTAGTATTTTCATAGCATTTAGTTTTTGTTTGGGGTTTCACTATCTGCTCATAGCTGAGATCCTAACAGGTGCTACCACCCCAGGTCAGGGTGGACCTAGGAACATCAACAATTAAAATGTTCCACGCTCCTAAACACCTCCAAACTCTCAGTAAGGGTACAAAGTAGATTACAATGGAAACTACCCATGTATGTATTCCTTTAAGTTCGTCTATTCATTTTGTTTTCATACCAATAGCAATTAATGATTATCACTATAGGTCAAGCGACAGCAAGTCTTCAAGCTTATTTCATTAAGCCCATCGTTTTGACGGTCACAGTTGGCACACTCTCTTCCGGATTTTCAGTTTTTTTTTAAACCTCTTTACAAATCTTATTTGGATTATTAACAGGTGACATCAAGTTTTCTCAGCATTCTCCTGGTTATCGTTGTTGTTTTTTTTTTGTGATGCTTTCGTTTGAATTACCTCCATTCAGTTCCTACATTCAATTCCTCCAGGATTTTTTTTTTTTTTTGCTAGGCTCTGGAATTGTTTTTAGGCCTCCAACAACCACTGCGACTACTACAGTTCCTAGTAAATCACCTTTCATAGCCAATCATTTTCACCTTTCTGTGTCCTTTTTATATCAATATGTCACATTCGGTTATTATACGATTAACACTCTTATCTCTCTCTCTCTCTCTCTCTCTTTCTATATATATATATATATATATATATATATATATATATATATATGCAGTTCGTATTTATTAATTTACTGTGTCCTGACTTTCATGGCTGTTATATAATTTAGGTACTTTCACATGCTCGCTGAAAAAAAATGATGAAAAAAGCCCCCAAACTTAATAAAAACAAAGTTTTATCGTCAAAATGTTTATGTGGTTATCAAGAGGAAAGACCAAAGTATTTTTTTATTATTTTATTAAATGTTTTTAAGCTTTTTTAGCACGTTTGTAATTTTGCTTAAAAATCTTGTTTATTTTTATTATTTTTTTTACGTAAGCGGTCGACGTAATTTTACAATTAGTGGTTCGGGTTTTTTTTCCCGTGAAAAACTTTGATTTGTAAATTTTTGCAAAAACCAATTGTCGGATTACATTGAAACATGCAGGACTTATTCATAATTGAATAAAATTATTTTTAAAATTTTTTTTAGAAAATCTTGGTATAAATATATATATATATATATTTATTTTGCATATGTTACTCCCTGCTTACATAATTTAATGAAATTTCGAGAAATTAAATTGCAATCTCAAAATTTATTTTATTAATTAAAAGCAGGACTCCTTGGAGAATGTAAAAAATCAATTTTTTTTCAAACTCCTACTTATTTCCAAAAATCTGCTCCGAATCTTAAAATAAAAATATGTAATAAAACTATGACATTATTTAATTAGAAAAGCTTTTAATTGCTTTTATAAATAAGATCTGTTAAGGACACTATTGCCTTAAGAAAATTTATTTTTTCGATGAATATTGGATTTTTACAAGAATTGTTTTCATTTTTTTTTTAATTTTAATTATAATGATTTATAATATTATAAATCGTTTAAAATTTTGCTTTACGTAATTCCGGTTAGGTGATATTGTTATTAAGTGAAAAATATATTTGCGAATCTAAAATTGAAAAACTTGATAAAAGTCGTTTATACCCAATATTTAAAAAAAAAAAATTAATTTTTTATGGATATAAAATATTACATAACTTGAACCTATTTGAAAGTATGATCGACCATATACGATATAATCAGAAAATAAGAGCGATGACGATAGTAAATTTAAATCCAACATTACTAAAATTAGATTACGAAGAATCTTTTCCAACATTTTTAAGAGTACTTAAAAATTATATATAAAAAAAGGGTTTCGCCGTTCATTTTCTTAAATTATATTCTAACAGATAATGTCTCCGTAGAACAACAGAAAAGATGTTGACAGATTTTATCGTCGCTTGTTAAGTGATCTACGAGTGACAAGCGACGGTGATTAGCGCGTAATCACCGTTACCGTTTGTTTTAAAAATACATTTCTCTGTAATTTTAATCTTAAAGTAAATAATATTTTTTCGAATCAGATTAAGTTTACTTTAAATCAGGTAATGCTCCTCAAATAAATTTTCAGAAAATTATATTTTATTTTTAAAAGTTTTTTAAATCAAAGAATTAACTTTTGTTTACAAATGTGTGAAAAATGGCTGATTTTGTGAAAGCAACTAAAAAGTTGAGATTCCAATCAATATAATTTTATTTTAAATACACCAGAGTATTTTTCTTACTGGAAATAGTAAATTTAATCATTTAGCTTTCAATTAAAGCTAAAATGTAATCTTCGATAATGCTTTTTCATTTTTAAAATTCATTTTAAACCTGAGGTATCAAAAATTCAGTGGAAGTGATTAATATAACTAATATAACTTAGTGCTGTACTGGCCCGAAATTAATAGTAATTCATTTTATCATTCTAGATGTCCTCTTTGCAATCACGTCCATGTTTCAATTGCTTTAAATCATGTCCCGATATTATGACATCATTTTTATTGATAAAACCGGCTTCATCACAGAGATATATAGATAGAGAGAGAAGGACTTATAAAATACAATATATATATATATATATATATATATATATATATATATATATTGTTGTAACATAGAGAAGGTTACTGAATATAATAATCAAACGAAAGTTGGTAATGAACGATAATACTTACGACAAGAACAACACATAAGATTCGCCAGCGGCGCGTAGAAGTAGTAGTCAACTGCTAGAAGTGAGTCAAGTAAATTCTACAATGAATCTCCAACTGCAGGATATCTACCAACCGCCCCACGCGATCAGATGTGGTTCAAGGCCGAATTTAATGTGGGGCATCAAAATCCGTAGGCTTGGCCAAAAATTCCAAGTAGACCCTGTATAAAACGGGGCCGGGTAGCTGTTTTCTGAGACTCTGTCCTTTGACATAACCTCATCTGCGGACCCACTCTACTCGGGGACAGAGCGTTTGACCAGCAGAGCTGAAGACGAATCTCCGATTTTAGACCAACATACAGTATTTACTACTGTATTTATGTGAATGGGGACATGCCCATTATCGTACATAGATATCCTACAACATTATATATATATATATATATATATATATATATATATATATATATATATATATATTTTGACTGGAATTACATTCAATTATGTGTTAATACCCTTGGGGAAGGTATGAATTCTCTTCCTCTCCCTCCAGCTATGGGTAAAATAGCAGGACAGACTGGGTTCTATAGCCTTGAATGGCAACTGGTCTAGGAGAAGGACAACTCTGAATTCAAAACCTGTGGAGGGTCGTTCGGGAACCTTGTGGCATTCGGTGCACCAGGTCTCTGTATTCGTCCCTTCAAAAAGTGTGGATGGTCCTGGACGAGGCCTTCACCACTATAATCAAATCTCATGTGCCGGTGTCGGGCTGTCGGTTTCCTGGAAACTGATCTGCTAATATAATTCTCGCCAATTAAATCATTAACCTTTGTATTTGTTTTTGTATGAATAATTCATGAATATATATATATATATATATATATATATATATATATATATATTAATCATTTAATTCTA